TAGCCCACGAGTTAGCGGTGGGTGGGGATGACTAGCTGCCTTCCCTCTAGTCTTTCACTACTAAATTAGGGACGGCTAGCGCAGATAGCCCACGTGTAGCTTTGCGCGAAATTGAAGTGTAAAAAGCTCTTGTGATTCAGTAGCGCGTCCATCTCTGTCACTGTTGATAGAAACATCGAAACGTTAAAAGTTAAAGATTATTCGAGCTCGAGAGAACCACATCAGTATCCACCTAACCGAGTTGATTTCAAAACTTCACAATGAAACTCATACGAGGCACGAATAACCAAATATTCATGTACATAAACAGCATGTACATAAACATGTACATAATTCAGCTTCATACCATACATAGTAGTTTTTACAAGAATGTTGACTGCAGATCCATATACACGATTAGATCGAGTATTCAACCCTGACAAAACAATAAATTATTTTTTTAAACATTTGTATAGATTTTGAACAGAATGAAAGAAGTCTAAAATGACCTATCTTTATGACAAATTAGGTTATTTTATGACTATAATCAATACATGATTAATTATTAACCTTTTAACCACCAGAAACACAAAATGTGAAATCTAGGACTTTAATATTGAAATAGAAAAGTCAAAGTTGTTTTGTACGAAGTAGCTTTTCTTCAGGAAATTGAAAACAGTTTCTTCAGGTAGAAGCACAGTTACATAAAGCACAAGTTACAGAAACCTGTCTCATAGGGAATGCGCTAACGGATATTGTGATGTTTCTCAGCTTTAGGCACTGGTTTGAAGCAACAGTCAATAAGAAACATCACCTTTCCAAACGAGTCCATGGAAATGACTTGTTTTTCTTTTTTAAATTCTATCCTATAAATAACAAAATCATACAAGAGCGTGAAACTCCAATGAAATCCGCAGTGTCAACTAATATTAAAATAATAGGTTTTCCTACTATATTTCTGTATTCGTCTGACACAGTGGCACAGCGGTATGTCTGCGGACTTCCAACGCTAGAATCCGGGTTTCGATACCCGTGGTGGGCAGTGCACAGACAGCCCATTGTGTAGCTTTGTGCTTAATTACAAATAAACAAATATCATCTGATTAGAAGCACCATGTTTTATTTTGTTTTCAGTTAAGCTTCACTGTAATCTGTACACAATTTTGTAATATAAGCCTTCTTTGGTGCCCTACTCCACCTTCTCCAGTGGCTCAGCTGAAACTCGTGGGCTGGGCTTACAATACTGAAAATCGGTTTTGAGTAGCAATTTCTGTTAGTAGCAATAGAAATAAAAACTTGTGGTAAAATATATTAATGTCTTTTTTTATCATATGACACCACAGCAATAAAATCAAAGCGGTACAAGGTTTTTTATTGAAAGGTTTGTTTGTTTTTGAATTTTCATGCAAAGCTACACGAAGGCTATCTGCGATCGTGTAGCACGATCAACATTTCAATGTAACCACAAAAGGAAAGAGTAAACAGTTTGATTTGGCACACTAGCCGATTTATTACGTCTAACTTTGCTGTTTTATTCGTGAAAATTCAATTATTACTCAGTCACAACATGTTGTTGTTTATCTAACCCAGTTTAAGGTACATATGGAAGAGAAACAAAACTTAAGCTGAGTCATATGAAAAGCATCTGCTAATATAAACGTTAAAACACTCGTTTTCTTATCTTCAACCAAAACTTTTCTATTCATTGAGCACGAGCTCAGTTCTCCAAACTGTTTCACCTTGCTTTTCAAACAGGTCGAATAGAACCAGTTGGTGGAAGAGAATATGGCTTCCAATACGTGAATTAACACAATACAAGTTGAAGTACGCTTTTAACCATGAATACAAGTAATTACACTTTTAGTGGATGTGCTATTTTCTTTCGTCTAAACAAATAGTTATAAATAGTTTTTCGTGACTCCGTTTGTTGCAAATGTTATTCGAACATAAACTAATTTATCCTCCTTGTGAACAGTGTTACAAAACAAGTTTTTGAAGTTTACTTTGAGACGGGCCTTGTTTTTCTGAAATAAACCTTTTTTTGTCAATAAATCAATATTTTACGCGTTCACGCTTAAAGCAACTGTGGCAATTTTAATCATGACATTGCGGACTTTCATTAAATGTCTTTTTTTATACAAAAAATATTTTAATGGAAGTATTTTTATTCCTCTAAATTATTTTATTTTCGGTAGTTCACAGAACTTTGAGAAATATCATTTTAATTACAGCTAGACTAAAGTTTGTTTGTTTTGAATTTCGCGCAAAGCTACACGATGGCTATCTGCGCTAGCCGTCTCTAATTTAGCAGTGTAAGACTAGAGGGATGGAAGCTAGTCATCACCACCCACCGCCAACTGTTGGGCTATTCTTTTACCAACGAATAGTGGGATTGACCGTCACATTATAACGCCCCCACTACTTTAATGTTAGATGGTAAACGACTAAACCATACAGATAATATACACTTGGATAAATTAACATTGTTTCTCAAAAGTGTTAGTGCTAAATAATTTTTGAAAGGAGAGAGATAATTGTGCTGACAATACCTTTGAATAAAAATAATTGTTTTCTTTTAATGATTAGATATTACAAACAAATTTGCAAGTTTTGGTTTCATATAGAAAAACTCGATTTTATGAATGTTTAGTGAAAACAAACAATGTTAGACTTTCAAGAAAGTAAACGATGATACACCAGAAGCTTCTAGAATATGTGTTTCATACATTAGTTTGTGACTTGGTATTGTGAATTAGTAAACTCAGCATGATGGAAAACTCCAACTGACATACAAAACTTGTTATCAAAACAAGGAATTATTATGTATACGAAACAAAAACCTGTTTATTTTTCATAAAATACTCTTTTTAAGAGAAGAGTTGTGTTTATGTTATACATATTTCAACAGAAAAGCTTTTTCAAAATAAATAAAACTTTATAAAAGCGAAATATGTTTATTTTCCTTTTCACCGATGTCTTCCTTTCGGTAATTTGAATACGCCATTATTATATCTTAAGAAAGTGCATTAAATGAAATTACAAAGGCTTTGAATAAATTATACTGTTTTGATATTTACCTAACTTGTATATATTTATTAAATATAATGCCTTGTTCACTGGTATTTCTTTAGCTGTGTGGGATTTGGACAAGATCTTCTATTCGTCCTACTTTTAATCTTCTTAACACTCTGCCAAAAGATTCCTGTTTAACCGTTAATGAATAGTCAACTGACGTTTGTTTTTCAAATAGCATTTTTCTCATTCAAAGGGAACTTTTATGGGTCATATTAAACTTTTATTGCAAGAGTAATATGGATTTAAGTTTCATTAAGCTATTTCTTCAATAAAAGGAACGGAAATGAGATCTCCACATCATCTTTGTTCCTTACCTGGCTCTTTCTTTAATCTTCTGAATGTCATAATGCATGCGCGCATGATAAACAAGATAATTACACTGTGGTTAATCTTTAAAAAAAAAAGTTTCTGGAGAAGAATTAGATAACCAAGATTTTTCCAATATCTTTATCTCCCAAGCGCAGATTTTGCCTACTTTAGCAAACATCTTTGTGCAAGGAATCAGTAGTTCACGTTAAACTATGCAATCTTTATAATCTGCTTTCCTAATTTAACATATCCTATTCGTTGTCTTATTTTTATCTTTTGTGAGAAACGATTGAAAAAAACAGTCCAATCTCTCAGTTTGTTTGTTTGAAGTTAAGCACAAAGCTACACAAAGGGCTATCTGTGCTCTGCCCACCTCTGGTATCGAAACCCGGTTTCTAGCGTTGTAAGTCCACAGACATACCGCTGTGCTACTGGGGGGCCCAATCTCTCAGATACGTTAACCAAAACAATCTGTTACTAACAAATAGACGAACACAAATATTCAAATTCAGAAGATATTATTTGAGCTACCTTTGTGCTTTGAAAAAATAACTAATATAAAGTCTTTAAACTATTTCGAACTAACATACACCTAAATTTTCAATTATCATCACAATAATATCACTTTCACACCTTGATGGCAGAAAAAATAGGAACAATGTCCAATAATATCACTTTCACACCCTGATGGTGAAAATAGAAACAATGTCCAATAATATCACTTTTACACCCTGATGGTGAAAATAGAAACAATGTCCAATAATATCACTTTCACACCCTGATGGTGAAAATAGAAACAGTGTCCAATAATATCACTTTCACATCCTAATGATGAAAATAGAAACAATGTCAATTAATATCACTTTCACACCTTTATGGTGAAAATAGAAATAATGTCCAATAATATCACTTTCACACCCTGATGGTGAAAATAGAAACAATGTCCAATAATATCGCTTTCACACCCTGATGGTGAAAATAGAAACAATGTCCAATAATATCACTTCCACACCCTGATGGTGAAAATATAAACAATGTCCAATAATATCTCTTTCACATCCTAATGATGAAAATAGAAACAATGTCAATTAATATCACTTTCACACCTTTATGGTGAAAATAGAAATAATGTCCAATAATATCACTTTCACACCCTGATGGTGAAAATAGAAACAATATCCAAATAATAAAATGGTGAAATATTTTTAAGAAATGGAATAAAAAAGTAAAGACATTTAGTAAAACAAAGGAAGCATTAATGTAAAAATTCGCATTTTTTCATTTTCATTCAGCTTTATAAACATGGTCGTAAAAGGACTTCTGTTTTAGAAGACAGTTTATTTTCAAAAATGTAATTTGAAAGGATGAAAATAATTATTTGTAAACCAGTTATCGAATTCGATAAAACAGCATTATTACTTTTAATTTTTTTTATAATAATTCTTCTTAGAATGAACTGCTTAAAGTAACTCCGAAGTTGTTTGTGGCTAATTTGTCTTGACCCAAATTTGACTTTATTCTATTTCATCTTTTTGATAACGTTAAATAAAAATGTACAATACTTGTAATGGTATTAATAATTTTGCATTAATCCTTATAGTCTTTATCGAAGTTTCATTTGTCTTTCTCTTCTCCAGAATAACAAGAGGGGTTCTTTTCGCCTGGGGATTTCTCTGGATGACCCAACTAATCACTATTTCATTAGGTGAGGAGAGAGAAGACACACAAGATCCTAGTTATACGGAGAAGAAGAGGACTCAGGATTTATACAGGTTTGGCCTCGGCAAAAGAAGACAACACTTTGATGACTTTGAATCCAAGAAAGCAGACCAAATGTATAGCTTTGGCCTTGGTAAAAGAGATTCTTTCATTTATCCCTATGACTTTCTATCAGAACATCCTGGACACCAAAGCTCCTTTTCGAATAATAAAAGAGTTCCTCAGCAGTTTGCTTTTGGCTTGGGAAAGCGGATCCTCTTACCCCACATGTATAACTTAGATGATAAACGGGACTTTACTTATGATTTTGGACTGGGCAAGAGAAATGACGAGAGAGAGAGATTTTCTTTCGGCCTTGGCAAACGACAAGAAAAACACTTTGATTTTGGTCTGGGGAAGCGTAGTTCTTTAGAGTCTGACATACCACGAGAGTACGAGGATTTCATTAAACGGCGGTTTCACTTTGGCTTAGGAAAACGTGAGGATCGAGAGTACAGTTTCGGTCTAGGCCGAAAGAAAAGAGAAACAAATGCTGCAAGGGACTTAATAAATTAGAAGACATTACTGACATAGAATATTAATCTCGATGAAAAACATCTTATTAAGAAAAGTATATACATTAAAGCATCTGAAGAAAGTTAACGATTTTATGACTGCTAATTTCTTATAAACTTCTTCTTGTCTACCTGGCAATATCAGTGTTTATATGGTTGTATAAATGTATCTTGTGTAGTCAGTCATTTTATCTTTGTGTATCAAACTCTGAAGGACTCGCTTTGTCACCAGAAGTTGTTTTTATTTTTTAACTTCTGTAACACAGTGAGATGTGTAGTCATAGCTCCAAGTGAAATAAAGGCATAAAAGCATATACTTTAAAGTTTATTTTTCATAATTCTATTGTTTCAAATATTTCACATCAGATTAATGTTTGTCGGAATCGCAGCATTAGACAAAGAGGTCATCATGATTCTTATTAATACTTTAGTAAATACTACTATTTATTACATCTTTATAATGCATTAGTGGTATTGTTTACAGTATTTCACAAGCGTACCGAAATCAATTGTCATTACTTTCATTATGACACTTCAAATTACCACGTAATTGCACCAAATATTCCTTTTTTAACCAATGTTTTAATTCCTGGATAATCGTACATAATAAAAAACATATAAACCAAAGAAGGGTTTACAAAATCTTATTGGATATTTTTATCCCCATAAAAACTATTCTAATTTTCACAGAGAGTTCTCAAGCAAGAGTACAAAGGAAGATATTTTACATAATATACACGATTCCTTTTCGGCACTGACTTTTAGCAATATCTTATCTTATATTTTAATAAGTACTGCTAAGTCAACACAATGTGAACGAATATTTTTTTAACTTAAGCTGTTATTACGTTGAAAACATAAATTACGGAAATTTTAAACAGTCTAGATTTAGCGGATATAGCTATTTTCAACAACTATAATTAGTTTCCTTAGACACGTTTGTTCACCTGAACAATGTGGATTAAACAGTCAGATCAGGTGGTTAGGGCGCTCGACTCGTAATCTGAGGGTTCAAATTCCCGTCCCACCAAACATGTTCGCCTTTTCAACCGTGGAGGCGTTATAATGTGACGGTCAATCCCACTTTTTGTTGGTAAAAGAGTAGCCCAAGAGTTGGCGGTGGGTGGTGATGACTAGCTGCCTTCCCTCTAGTCTTACACTGCTAAATTAGCCCTCGTGTAGCTTTGCGCGAAATTCAAGACAAACAAAGACTTCTGTGACTCAGTCTTAGCGTCACTCATTTTGAACTACGGAACAGAAAGAGAAGGGAGCCAGTTGGCAGCGCCTGTTGCATGGACGGATACTCTTGACATATTAATGAGATTGACTGCCACTCTGATAACGCTCACACAGCACCACGTTTCGAGCCCAAGACCCTCAAGTCCCAAGTTCAATACGCTAACCACTAAGCTCAGCTCGGACCTCCTTTAATAAGTAAACATTCTTAACATCCGTTTACTTATCTCGTCACAAAGATTACAACAACGCTCTTTATTCTCAAACTATAAGTAAACATTCTTAACATCCGTTTACTTATCTCGTCACAAAGTTTACAACAACGCTCTTTATTCTCAAACTATAAGTAAACATTCTTAACATCCGTTTACTTATCTCGTCACAAAGATTACAACAACGCTCTTTATTCTCAAACTACAAGTAAACATTCTTAACATCCGTTTACTTATCTCGTCACAAAGCTTACAACAACGCTCTTTATTCTCAAACTATAAAAACATATTAATTATTTGTTCACAAAAGGCTATCATACCACGCCTAAAAGTGTTTCTCACGGTTACAAAAATTCATCGGTAATAACTTATTCTTTAATCTGTGTTAAAAATTATAACATTGTAACAGTCTATTTCAAGAAGATAAAAACACCTAAAACAAACGGTAGTTATTGTAAGCTTAACACATACTTCCAAATCTTAATGTATTAAGAAAAACTTTCTTGGAGCACTGATGAGTTCTACCTTAAACCATAATATATTACTATTTTATACGGTAAGATAGCACTTAAAGGCATATTTTGCTTAAGGTCAAATAAAATTCCCATTATTTACACTGTAAATTACAGTTTACATGAGAGTATTGTTTATTTTCTTAAAACAAATTTCATCACATACGTAGAAAGCTTTTCTGTACTCATAAAAAATATCAAAGGACTCGTTTCATGTCTTGTACGGAATTATGAACACGGATATGAATTTGAAAAGAATGACAAACTGAAGCGAAACAAAACCATTATTGTTATGTGTAGTGGATTTCAAAACCACTCAGAATGTTTATTTAGGATTCTTGTTTTCTCAATCTATGCATCTAGTATTATACTGTTTATAGCGATAAAAATGTGATGTTTAATATAATATGACAATACAGGGAATACATGGCTTTTTGTATTATTGTTTGATCCACACAATACGTACGCGTAATACCAACTAAACTGTAAACCGAGGGAAGTTCCTGTTAACGAATCGCAAAATTGGAAATACTATTCAAGGGAATGTTTTTCCAAAGTTGTTTTTTTTAGGAAGGTTTGTGGGTTGAAAGTTTAAGCAGTTATTTTCTAGATGCAGTATTGCTGAAAAATAGCTATCTTTGCCGTATTACGTTTTTATTTATCACTATAAACAATCATCCTTAAGTATAAAAGAATAAGTTAGGGTTATTTAACTGCATTCAGTGTGCCAATGGGTACAATGTTGTTAAACTCGGCGTTGAGTAACGTGAACATGCGGAAAGTAACGTACGTTTTGTGAAACTCATGTCCATCAGTTTCCTGAACACAGTGGTCTGAACAGCGGAAGTGAGTTTTGAAAGTCTCGACATAGGACTACCAGTTTTAAAGGTTTACATGATGCTAGTGTCATTAACTTCGTACCAAGTAAGCCTAGACATGTTAACCCTCCACCAGTCTGTTCGGGCTGCACATGTTAAGCCTCCACCAATCTGTTCCAACTGCACATGTTCAGTCTTCACCAATCTGTTCCGACTGCACATGTTAAGCCTCCACCAACCTATTCGGGCTGCACATGTTAAGCCTCCACCAATCTGTTCCGACTGCACACGTTAAGCCTCCACCAATCTGTTCCGAAAACAAATATTTGGGAACGTGGATACTTACAAGGTGTACACTTGTCAGTTAAATCAAACATTAATTAATGTACTCAGTTTCATGAAGTTCAATGCGATAAAGCTATTACCCCATGTTGCTTCTGTGTCATCTTTTTAAATTAATGATGTATATCTATGTGTAATAAACGAAAATTTACGAAACATTCTTTATTGAAAGGACATTACGCCAAAAGTTTCAGTATTGGAATTATCACTTACTTTTGAGATGAAGCATTTTAAAACATTTTAATAACGCAGTCCTGGAATCTTTGGAATACAAAAGGGTGTAAGAAAATGCAACTTGCAACAATAACAACTACAAATTAGATGTAACTAGAGCTAAGCCTAGTTGATAGCATTAGCGTAATATTTTTTTCTAATCAGCCAATGTTATATCTCACACGAACATAATGATAACGTAAACACTGAATAGAAACTTAAAGTTTATTGAACTACTTCTGTTCGAACCGATTATCCGAAGTTTATATTGAATTTACGGTCACAATGACCAATTTACTATGTGTAAAATATACACTTTTGGCCACTATAAAGTTTATTCGCATAAGTTTGAAATACGTAATTAAGTTTTGTGTAAGAAAATATTATTTTTAGATATAAACACAAACCACTAAGACTCAAAATATTCACAAACTGAAAAGCGGAGAGGAGTGAAAATGACAGAATCTTTACACATTTTCTGTGACTAAAACTTCGTTAAGAAATTACGAGTTCATACAGTGTGCCAGTTAGCTATTGAACTATATTCAATAACAAGATCCAGGTCGTACAGAAGCTCCTTAGTGGATTAAACATATGGTGCCCTTGACTACATATCTATAGGTGTCGCCCTCCTTCAGGATATTCACGCATTTTCTTATCTAAATTCGCACGTGCAGTGTTATAATGGATGATGAAATACGTACAGAACTACGATAGCTGTAATAGTTGAACGTGCTTAAAATCTGTAAAGGATTCGATACAAAGTATTTCTGATATCTAGTTTTAAATTTCTATTAAATATTCTTCCGTTCAACCATTTCTACATGGTCAATTTTAAATACACGTTAATAATGTCGAATACATCAATACCCAGTTATTATTCATGAATAAATATCACCGAAGTTCCAGCTTTAAAAGATTATATGTGTGACATTAACTCTAAGGTGAAGAAAACTGTAGAATGACAATAACAATGAGAAATATGCTGTATTTCCTATCTAGTTCTTTACACATACTAATATACTGAGCTAGAATGATCCAAGATGATCAGATAAAGACTGCAAAACACTGAGTTTTGTGAATGGATCAATACTGTTACTTTATTACATTGTAGTTTTTGATTCACTAATTTTTCTGTTTTATAAACATCACTCAATGTTCAGGATTGATGACTAACCACGAATATATTGATTAAATACCTATCTCATTCTCAGCGTCTTGTCAAAATCAGTTGCTAATATTCTTCGCGTTGAGGAATAAACTTTTCTGAATAACATAAGAACTCGAGCTTTGTACGCAGTTAATCGAAGGTGTCACGCCCTCTGTTGATAGCATTCTTTAGATATATTAAGTTTTCACATGTAATTTCAATACTAAATCCATCGCTTTGGGAAAACTATCCAACTTTTCCATAAATTTCCGTTTTAGTCGAACTACTTGATATAACTTAAAAAAAAAACGCGGCCTATTATTGTGAGATATAGTAAATTCTCATCTTCAAAATATAAAGGAATAAGACACTAAAAATATCTGAAAAGAGATAATAATTTGGCGCCATATTGTTAGAACGAGCAAATGTGTTTCAGAAGATAAATTTCTACACTCTACTGAAAACATATTTTGATAATAATAATAATAATATATATATATATATATGTGTGTGTGTATATATATAATTTGATAATATCTTTTCCATAAATAGATTAAATAAATATGGTAGAAATTTAAAGCTATTCAATACACACTTTTAACAACCATCCAAGTAGCCAGAATTTGACCAATTATCTCAGTTGTTTTCGCATCGACTGAATGATCTTTAATTTATCCATTTGTTTCAAGAATTAACACATATCTAAGTGAGACAATCCTAATCTCTTCTCTTGTTTGTTTTTTTCGTCTTTTTATATATGTTTACCAGAAAACGAAGCGTATAGGAATGTCTGAAAACATGTTGTTTGATGCGCTTTTAGAAAGTATTACGCTA